TCTGTACAGCAAAGGACACCACCAATAGAACAAAAAGGCATCCTACAGTATGGAAGAATATATTCATAAATGACAGATCCGATAAAGGGTTGACATTCAAAATACATAAAGAGCTCACACACCTCAACAAACAAAAAGCAAATAATCCAATTAAAAAATGGGCAGAGGAGCTGAATAGACATTTCTCTGAAGAAATCCAGATGGCCAACAGACACATGAAAAGATGCTCCACATCGCTTGTCATCAGAGAAATACAAATTAAAACCACAATGAGATATCATCTCACACCAGTAAGGATCGCCATCATCGAAAAGACAAACAACAACAAATGTTGGCGAGGTTGTGGAGAAAGGGGAACCCTCCTACACTGCTGGTGGGAATGTAAATTAGTTCAACCATTGTGGAAAGCAGTATGGAGTCTCCTCAAAAAGCTCAAAATAGAAATACCATTTGACCCAGGAATCCCATTTCTAGGAATTTACCCTAAGAATGCAGCAGCCCAGTTTGAAAAAGACAGATGCACCCCTACGTTTATCGCAGCACTGTTTACAACAGCCAAGAAATGGAAGCAACCTAAGTGTCCATCAGTAGACGAATGGATAAAGAAGATGTGGTACATATACACAATGGAATATTATTCAACCATAAGAAGAAAACAAATCATACCATTTGCAACAACATGGATGGAGCTGGAGGGTATTATGCTCAGTGAAATAAGCCAGGTGGGGAAAGACAAGTGCCAAATGATTTCACTCATATGTGGAATATAAAAACAAAGAAAAAATTGAAGGAACAAAATAGCCACAGAATCAGAGAACCCAACAATGGACTAACAGTTGCCAAAGGGAAAGGAACTGGGGAGGATGGGTGGGAAGGGAGGGAGAAGGGGAATAAGGGACATTACCAGCAAACATAACATGGGGGTGGGGCATGGGGAAGGCAATATATAGCATAGAGGAGACAAGTAGTGACTCTATAGCATCTTACTAGGTTGATGGACAGTGACTGTAATGGGGTCTGTGGTGGGGACTTAATAATGGGGGAATCTAATAACCACAATGTTGCTCATGTGATTGTACATTAATGATACCAAAATAAAAAAATTTAAGAAAAGGGAAGAAGGGAGTATTAGCAAGTATTTGAGAGAGGTTAAAGACTCAGAGGTTTTCTCCACAATAATCCAAAAAAAAATGGAAAGAAAGCAGGGAATAACTTTCTCTCAACTGATTTACTATTATTTAAAGTTGTATCTCAATGTCCCTCCAGTAATGCATGACATAAACTGTATATTTCTCACACTGGAAGGAAAGAATACATGGGAGACCAACAGACACATAAACTTCATACTTACTGAGAGCCTATACCATGGGTCTGAAACCTTGTGCTCTGCAGAGAGGTCAAGATAGGTATGTCGTGAATCCTAAGATAAAATATAGAAACAACTCTGCTACAGGCATTTCTCCTCTAAAATTACTTATTTTTTAACTTAATCTGATATAACCCTTGAGTCAGAAATGAGATTTGAGGCTTACATAAGAGAAAGTTGCTGAACTATGTGACATTGCTTTATCCAATAAAGGGTACCAAACAGAATGGGAGAAAGTTATGGTGAGTGCATCATAACAGGAAGGTCTGCAAAAGGCTCTCCCAGCTGGCCAGCAGGACAGGAACTGTTAAGCAAAGATCTGAGGTGGAAGCACTGGTGGTGGTAGAGAAAGTGGGGGGTGGGAAAGTAAAGTGGTAAGAAGGTGGGGAAAAGGTAGAAGGGAAATGCAGTAAGAAAACTGGGTACCAAGAAAACATAAGCAATCTTAATAATTGTAAGTAGCTTAAATTTACTTATTTAAAAAAAAATCTGAGTCTTACTCCAGTCTCCATTAAGTCTGTTTATAAGAGATACCTTGAGTAAAATTTCCACATGTATGCCAGGTAAAAAAATAGAAGAAAGAAGATGAGGCAGTATTGACATGAGACAAAGCAGAACTCAAGGTCAAAAGATTTTACTTAATGAATTCATAATATGAAATTTATAAGTAAGAAAAATTTCATACTAATAGAATACATCTAAGATACAGCAGTATAACTAACAATAGAGCTCCAAATATGGAAAACAAAAATCAATAGAAAAAAAATCAAGAAGAAACAAACTACAATCATAGTTGGAAATTAACATCCTCTTAGAAAACAGAGGTCAAAACAGATAAAACTTAGTGTGAACATATGATTTGAACAATATAATTATGGGAGATGAAACAAGGAAGGTTAATCATAAGTTAGACCATACACATTTTAAAAACTGAATTCTAACTAGAAATAATAAAGACCAAATTCCACAATAAAGAAACTGACTATAAGATAAGGATCAAACCAAAGGATGATTATTTGGAAATATCAATAAAATAGTTTTGCCAAGACTGTTTAAGATAAAAAGAGAGAACACATAAATTAGTAAGTATGTTAGGAATGAAGAGGGAACATTACTTAAACACCTATAGATGGTAAAAACATACAAATGATATGAGCTCTAGGGCAATTCATTTAATAACTTAGATAAAATGAAAAGTCCTTGAAAAACACAATTTATCAAAACTGACAAGAAATTAAAAATTCAATTAATCAAAAAACTTTCTCCAAAACTCCAGATCCAGATGAATTCTATCAAACATTTAAATAAGATATAATACCAATCTTACATAAACTCTTTCAGAAAATAGTTGAAAACACTTTCTAGCTCATTTTACAAGGCCATTTTCAC